CTGCCGCCACCCACCGGCCTGGCCGCGCGGCGCCGTGAAGAGGAGCTGGAGGCCGCGGCGCAGCGCCCTCGGCCCGGGCCCAGCCGGGCTTACCCCTGGAGACGAGCCCTGCCCGGCGGGAGGGGGCTTCTTACGCCGGCGACTCTAGGGTCGGAGGAGTTGGGGCCCTGCCCTGAGCTCGCCGCACGGAGCGCCAAGTCGGGGAGCTGCTTTCTCGGGGGCCTCCGATCTCAGACCCCAGCTTCGCTGTCTTGCTCTGCTGCACACTGGGGCTGATATTCTTTTTATAAATAGTCTTGGATCTCTTGGCCCCTCACTGGCCAACCTACTCTCTGCCCTGAGATGGAGTGCTGAAGGGCCAGGCACACAGATTTTAGGCAAGTTTTAAGAAAAAACTTATAAATCTGCAATTTGCAAAAAAACTAAAAGAGATTTTAGAATTATTGGTGGGAAGAATATAGAAAAGAGTAAACTCCAATTCTTTATCCAATACAAGAAAGGTTGTTGGAATATCTGGAGTTATATTCAAGGAGAGAACTTGGAATGTGGGGCTTGGAGAGGGTGGAAGGGGTGAAGGGTGCTACGTCAGTGGGTGCATGATCACTCTGCCGACTCTAGGGAAGAAATGGTAAAGGCAAGGACAGGAGACTGCCACTTGATGTAATAATGTCCAAATAATTGACATAAAAAGAAACCTGTTATTAATTTTGTATAATATTCTTTAGGGAGATGAGTACACTACAGACACCATTTCTTTCTCTCAACATCTTTAGAGAGGGAATTAAAATTAATTTTATACCGCCTGAGAAGGGCAATACAGGAGTGTGATCTGACATGCTTAAAAGTACCCCCTTCAAGTGATTGTTTCTAGACCAAAATAGGAAGTAAATATAGGTAGACTACTCCTGAAGTACTGTGGCAAATTCAGGTAGTGCCAAAAGGGTAGAGCAGAGTAAGGGAAAAGAGTATGTTCATAAATGTGGTAGCAAGTTGCACCACGAGTCTCAAATGAGGAGACAGCCACTCAGAGTCTATTCTTATCAGGGACATACAGAGTAGAACTGCCAAGGAAGGGGGAAGTTGGAGGCAACTGACATAAACACACACCAAAAAACAGAAAAACCAACAAAGTAGTGAAGCAGAGCTGGGCACAAATCTTGAGGTCTTAGGTGGTACACAGCAAATCGGGAAGCTGATTTATACTTGACCTGGAAGTGAGGGAGAACTTTTCATTCGGTTTGCTGAAGCAAACCCCTAAACAAGAGGTTCTTCTTAAACTTTTTGGTCATTTTCTCCTCTGTTAAAAGCTCTAGGCCCTTTTCCCAGAAAATGTATATAGGACAAATGTAATTTTGCATAGATTTTGCATAGATTTTGGGGGTTTTTTAGACCCCTAGAGTCCTAAAAAATACCAGAAGGGATTAAAGTGATAACAGGGATTAAATAACTACCCTATTTGGGTCTCTTCTATTTTTTTCTCTTTCTTTCTTTAAAACTAAGCAGTAAAAATCAGATGTTTTGAATGTTTCTTTGAGAAAAAAGGCATACTATTCTGTTCCCTGGGCTGAGACCCTTTCTTTTTTTTTTGTAATGCCTTTTAAAATATACCAGAAGCCATAAGACTAAGAACTACTTACTGGTTGAGAAACATTTAGGATCTTCCCTGCCTTTGAGCATAAAGTGAGGTTTTATTACACTTAAAATCATTGAAGATGTCATACCAAGAAGCAAATCCCTAGGGAAGATATTAACAACTTAGCATTTTCAGTTCAAGTGGGAATTTGAATTCCATTTATTGAAGAGCATATGTTTTATACATATTGTTAAGAATAAATATTTTAAAATAATAGTCACTTTCCCTTGATCCTTCTAAGGATCCAATGATGGTCTATGAATTGGTCTGCAGAGGTCACAGGCCAGGCCTGATATATTAATACGTAGAGAAAAATCAACAAATAATTATTCTCCACTTTGTGCAAATCGAGAGCCCTAGTGGCGCAGTGGTTAAGAGCTTGGCTGCTAACCAAAAGGTCGGCAGTTCGAATCCACCAGCCACTCCTTGGAAACCCTATGGGGCAATTCTACTCTTTCCAATAGGGTTGTTATGAGTCAGACTCAACTTGACGGGAGTGGGTTGGTTGTGCAAATCACCATTCCTTTATATAACAACAATGTATATATTCACATAACTAGCATGAAGTAAAAATTAATTATGATATTTAATAAAAATGAGATTGCTTTAAGTGGTAGGTATGGGTTTTTGGTTAATTGAATACAGTCTTTGTGTTAGAGCGTCCTGGAAAGTCCTCTAGGAGATCTACTAAGGTCAGTTCTCTGCTTTAGTAGTTCAAAGCCCCCATAAGTTTTAGAACTACAGGTTTACATGTTACTAAAATTCAATGAAAACTAGTCAAATACTCCATGACTTCATATAGGTAGAACATCTATTACATGACCATTCTAAAATGCAGTTGATTATAGATTAAAGATTAAACATAGGTTTTAATCTTTGACAAAGACAGGTAATTTGGCCAGAAAGCATCAAGTAATCTTAACCTTTATTTTTAAAACTCTCTTTCTGGAAACTCTATCCTCATAGGAATGGCATTATGAAAATTTTCATCTTTAATTAGAGCTCTTCTACCCAATAGAAATATAATGCAAGCCATATTTGTAATTTAAAGTTTTCTATTGGCCACATTTTAAAAAGTAAAATGAACAGGTAAAATTAATTTTAATATATTTTATTTAACCCAATATGTAAAATATCATTTCAATATGTAATCAATATAAAAATATTAATGAGATATTT